TTTTTTTTTTTTTTTCCTCCTGGCACTAACATTCATTTGAGAATGTGCTTTGGGAAATGTTGACTCAGAGATTTGTGCTTACTAAGCTTGGTCTGTGGGTCCACCTGAGGGAACTCCTGATTCCCCGAGTTGGCCTTTAGAGAAGTCATTGTCCCGTATTAGGGTGAACTGTGCAAGGTCATTCTGCAGTCTCTCATAGTAACCACATCACAGTCTCATGGGATTGCTGCTTAATGCCTTACATTTTGTGTAAGACCTGAGTTCATCAACCTCCTTTGCGTGTTTGGAATATACCGAAGACTGCCAGGTAACCCAACTGACACAAACTCAAATAGCCTCTTCTGAGCATCTGTGAGTTGCTGCAACCCTCCATCCCCTAAGCTGGCCCCTTTCCACCTTCCAGGGGCCACGCCACCTTCCAGGGGCCACATCACCTTCCAGCAAGGTGGATTATCTTCTATGTCACAAATGAGTTCTTTCTCAAGATCGTTGATGCTGAGATTTAAAACAGATCAATTCTCATCTTCAGCCTTTGAATACAATGCAGTACCTGTTGGATTGAAAGAGAGACAGACAACACATAGAAGAAGTTGGAACAGGCTGGGGAGACCGGTTTCTCGATTACCGTTGACACTGCGCTCCACTCCGGACACACCTGCTTTGCAGAAGCATGGGACTCACCCTGCTCGCCTGACTTTAGACAGAGCCAAGAGACCTCATTAAGTAACACTGGACCCTCAAGTGACAAAGTTGGTCCTTTTTAGTTCTCTTTTGACCTTAATTACTTTTTTATTTTTTAACATCAAGAGAAATGCTACGGGAGGTGTGTCTTTAGCAATTTTCAAACTAAGCTATCCTTTAAAAATTTCTAGTTGGAATTCAATAACATTGTTTTATTTTCTTTTGTATTTATTTTACTGAGACTTCTCAGTGATGGAAAGTGACGAGGATTTTCCATCGGCGTGATAAGATAAAATTTCTTTTGAGAATACATTTTAAAACATTTAAACAAATAGAAGTCTGTTGCAAAGATTAGAACTGCTGTCGTAACAACTGCCCTGACATCTCCTGAAGTCAACCCAAAATATTTTTTGTTTGTTTGTTTAAGGATTTTGCCATAGGGCATGGGCACTAACCAGAGAGAGAAAAGTGAGAAATCACCACCACCCCCCAGGGGGATGGCCATGCCTCAAGCCCTTCTCTGTTCTCCTCAGGATTTGGGGCACTCATGCGCACACCCAGGATGATTTACAAGCCAGTGGTTGGAGCTCAGACTGGTCGGCCATGTGGGAGGCCATGTGGTGGCCTTAGCCACCACACCACTTGCTGTCCCTATGATTACTCACTTTGTAGGTATATAAACTGAGACTTGGAGAGGCAAAATGTCTTTGATTCAGTGATGTAATAGTTATTTGACTGAGACGGTCAGAGCTGGGTCCAAGACCTTTTGAATCTTCAAGTCTTCTCCTCATTCTAACTTTGTATCAGTCTTCTCTATTAAAACATATGGTTTGGGCCAGCAGGTGGCATGGTGGTTAAAGCATTGAATCCCACATGGCCCACTGTGTGGTTTGAGTCCCGGACCCAGCATCTTGAAAAACATACCTGGTGCTTGTGCGTGCATGCCCAAAACCCCAAGAGGATAATGGAAGAGAAGGGATAGCAGCATGGCCATCCCCTCTGGAGGGTAATTTTTCACTTTCTTTCTCCCTCTCTGGCAAGCATATAGACCCTATAGCAAAAAGTAAAAATAAATATCTAAATAAGGTTAATATGTTGATAGTTTCTTAGAATTGTTTTTCCTGGGGCTGGGATGGTGGCACAGTCACAGAATGCAATGCTCTCTGAGGCTGAGCCATATGGGAGGGGTCCAGGTTTGCATCAGGAGACCTCCCTGAGTATTCTAGGCACGGGTGTGCCCAGGGTCTGGGTCTGGCTGCGGTTGGGAGTGTATTAGGTCAGGGTCCCCAGGCCCTGGCCCACAGACTGGTAACAGTCAGTGGCCTGTTAGGAACCAGGTCGTACAGCTGGAGGTGAGTGGGGGGGTGAAGCTTCACCTGTAGCTACAGCCACTCCCCATCATTCGCATCACTGCCTGAGCTCTGCCTCCTGGCAGATCAGCAGCAGCATTAAATTCTCACAGGAGCGCAGACCCTTTTGTGAATTACATATGTGAAAGATCTAGGTAAGGTGTGTAATTATTTCATTACATATTACAATGTAATAATGATAGAAATAAACTGCACAATAACTGTAATGCCCTTGCATCATTCCCAAACCACCCCCCTTCAATTCTGTGGAAAATTGTGTTCTGCAAAATTGAATCCTAGTGCCAGGAAAGTTGAGGACTGCCGTGTTATGGTGTCAAGACCCTGTTGAGGATGTTCTCTTTCTCTCACTCTTTCACTCATGGAAGAAAAAACCTTAAAACTCCCTCCCCACCACCCTGGGGAGAGATGAGACCTAAACAGGTTATTAAATATTAAAAGCAGCCATGAATGTGAGCGCACTGAGACAGACAGGTGCGTCCTCACAATGCTCTAACCTCAGGTGATCTTTTATGGCTAAGATATTTAACTGAAAAACAGCTGAAATAACTTAAGACCTGTTGAAACAATAAATGGGCTGTTATGAGCAAAGTTTAAAAGTATCTTAAAATATTATGGTCAATATTATGGTCAATTTAATATGGGCAGCATTTTTGACTTTCTTAAAACCTGAAAAAACTGCTAAAACAAATAAAAGTCAGAATCCGTCATTGCAAATACTAATAACAATCAAAGATCATTAAAACTAAAGGGCACATTTAGAACTGAATGAAAAAATAACATAGGGCTTTTTTTTCCCCCCCAATGTGGGTCAAATTAAGTGGAAAACAAACTTAGAGTACATTAAAATACACCTAATCATGGATTTTAAAAACCTATTACAGGGCCAACTGGTGGTATGGTGGTTAACGTGGCTGGATCTCACATGGCTAATTGCATGCCCTGCAAGGTCTGGACCCAGTGATTAGAAAAACATGCCAAGCATGTGAGCCTGTATGTCCAAAATTCCGAGAGGAGAATGGAGGAGAAGGGATTGTGATGTGACCATCCTTCCTGGAGGGGAGTGTGTGATCTCTGTCTCTCTTCTCCCCACCCTTGCCAAGCATACATACCCTGTACCAAACAAAAACAAAACAAAACAAAACCATGCCAGGTTATACATACACCATTGTGCATTCAGCCTGAAAGGGCTCTGCGGTGTTAGGAAATTTGAGGAAATGACTTCCCTGTCTTCTGATTTTCTGATTCGTACCTACTGACTCACTTGGTGAAAAAGAGGGTTTCCACAGGTAAAGAGACTGGGAGGCAAAATTGTCAGCAGGGAGACTAGACAAACTCAGTCCTTACCAGACAGTTGGTACCAGAACCATCCAAAAAAACCGTGAAGGATGTAGTCCAACAGGCCAGAGTAACTGAGGCTGATTGAATCTGGGTGCCTTCCTCCTACTTGAAATTCTGTCTGTTTCACGTGACATTGTGTAGTAGCATCCTAAACACACAAACGTTATTAATTGTCTATTGTCATGTAACAAAGTATCTCAAAATGTAGAGGCTTAATACAACCATAAATACTTATTACCTGACAGAACTTCTACACTGTAGGAGTTCAGAGTGGCTTGGCTGGGTGCTCCTGGCTCTCCGTGTCATGAAATTTTAATGCATGTAATATACTGTGTATCTGTTTGTATTCTATGGTCCGTTAGAGGGCAGTGAGTAATTTTAATAGCTAATATTTCTTTTACCTCCCAAGAATGAATGTTTGCTCCCTTTGACAATGCATGTACTATAGCAACATTTTATATAGCTTTATGATATTCCATCATGTGAGTATGTAATGTTTGTTGGGTCATCGGAAAACTCGTGACGTATGTTTCAATGCAAAAGTATACCATGGCTTTTCCAAAGACCCAATATATAGCCAACCCCTGTTACTCAAAATATGGAAGTTTTAAAAGGTTAAAATTTTAATTTATTTTTATTTTTATTTTTTTGAGAGGTTTTTCTATAGGGTGCGTGCACTCGCCAGAAATTGGCCAGTTGCAAGCCCTGCGAGGTCTGGACCCAGTGACAGAGAGACAGAAAGTGAGAACTCACCCCCCGGGGGAAGTGCCCCTGCCGCAAACCCTTTTCCTCCATTCTCTTCTTGGGATCTTGGGCACACATGCCCAGCGTGAGTCTAAGACACCGGGTCTGGGACTCAAACTCGGTTGACTACATGGGAGTCCAGCGACATAGCCATTACGCCAACTGTTGGTTACCCCCCCCCCACATTTTTATTCTATTTTAGTTTGAATTAATATTATTTTTAAAGATGGGGTCTGACCGTGTCACTTTCCTCCTGCCTTAGCCTCTCAACTGGGACTACAAGGGTGTCCTACCATGCCTGGCTCTTTTTTTTTTTTTTTTTTTTTTAAGTAAGTTCTCTCAGTGCCCATGCCAGCCTCGATCTTGCAATTGGAGTCTCTGGAATTAGAGGTACATGCCCCTGTGCTTGACCTTTTGGACCAGAAATTAAAGCCAAACTTCTAATATGGTCCCTGCCTATGGAGCACAGTGTCTTAGCATGCCATTATAGCAGAGCTGAAAATATAGATTATTTTTTTATTTTACTTATTATGTAGTGTTGCAACAAACTGTTCATACATGTACAGGAATTGTTTTCCTCATCCAGAAGAACGAGACTCTTCTGTTACTGCCAGTATGATCGCCTCCTTTGCCTTCAATTTCAAAATCATTCGTTTTCTCTTCATTTCCCTAGTTCAGTAGTCCTTTAGTCCTTGCCTGGTGCCAGCCACTCCAGAGGGTGCCCTGGTGACTGAGAGGTGGCTGAGAAACTGAGTTTACCTGTGTAGCGCTCACAGCCCCACGGAAGGAAGGGGGCGAGCGTGGGGATGAAAGGGATTGAGGGAACATGGACACAGAGAGGTCTGCAGAATGTTCGGAGAGCGTTCAAAGGTAAGACATGCCACAAGCCTCAGTCCTCCCTGGAGCTCAGGTCAGAGCATGAGGTCACAGGGCTTGTCTTCGCAAAACCCAATTTTCACATCTGTATAATGGGTTAACAACGCTGACTGCACGGGCATTTTTTCTCCTAAGCCTCT